GGCGCCGTTTATGAGGCTAATGAGGTGTGAGGGGGCTAAGCAGGGGGCTCTATGCTACACTAGTAGATATATGTATGTTTTCTTATTAAAGTGAAAGTATGCAAAGAGCTAACAAGTCTTTCCAGTCAATACAGCCTGGAACTACGAGTATTTATACTAAGCTTTAATTTATTATTAGAGCATATGGACTTACAGGCTTATGTTCCATAAGTTAACCTCGTGTAAATATATTTTTATACAATTAAATAACTAATTTATACAATTAAATCCTGCATAAATTGGACAAAAAATTGTTGGCTACATTAAAGGGTTTTTATATTTCCAGAACTTGTTCTCGAACACGAACCTTTGTGTATCTGATTCTTTAATCACAAGCAATCCCAATTACTTTACCATCACTTTGTGCGTATACTTCTGCCAATAAGTGTTTAAGCAGAGGCCCAATCTTTTTCCTAATTGCTGCAAACATGTGCTTACTATGACGTCACAAAAACTCTCCCTCCACATTCATGACAAAGCACTCAAAGGGCTTCGGAAAATTACAACTTTCAATCACTGCGATTTGCGCAGCATGCGAGGACACAAAAGGACAGAGAAATCTATCAAAACCATAACCAGCAAGCACTTAAACTTTTCACTGACCACCACCCTTGCTGATTATTTGCTTTTCTTTTTCATTTTGGCAACAATAAATTATCAAAATTTGTGGCATAAATCAGAGCAGCAGCACCAGCAGCAGCACCAGGAACAGCAGAAAATCGGGGGAACATATTGGCACTACATATACTTTTCACTTTTCAATATTTGTGCGCTCGCTTTGTTTGCTTTTCTGCCTTGACATATTGAAGTGGTCAAGCAAATAAAAGCCACATGAATCAGCAGCACGAACCGCCACCAGATGATAACTGACTGTGGACTACTGTGCGGTATGGCAAGAGGGCGTAGCCAGGGGCTGGGGGAAGCGACCCTGGGGTTTCGGTCGGTCTGTCGCACTGTGCCGAGTAAATGGCGTAAAGTTAATTGATTAACGACAAGACCAGTTGAAAAGTGTGCCACGCCTAGCTGATGCTGATCTCCGCCTCGCCAAACCCTCAGCAAAGACGAGCATGTAGTCATAAGTAGAGGCGAAACCTTAAGAAAGAGGAAATATTTATTTGCGAGTTTTGTGCTCCCTTTGTCATGCCGGGTTACATACTCGTACTACTTATTGAGGTGCTTCACCGTTGATTTGCGACCATTGTCCAGCTTAAATTGGGCTAGACCAGTGCGGGGACAAGCAGACTGAAGGCCGGCAGGCATTGTTGCCTATTATGTCTGCCTGATGGCATGTCGAGAATTCATCTGTTGTTGCAAATTGATTGGAATTTCATGAATTGTGCCAGGACGAAGCCTTTTATGCAGCGCCCAAGTGGGTGAAAAAAAAATGAGGAAAGTTTACGAAATTATCGAATGTTTCCATCAATGTGGGATTCATTATTCTGATAGGCCGCAGGTAAGAATTGAAGTGGTTGTCCAACTCTTAAAAATTGCTTATAAGAACGAGGACATTTTAGGGTATTAAAGCTGCTACGGACTCCTTCCTCTTAGTCTCACATACTACGAAGAAAATAAGTGAGTTCAAAAATACATTTACAAAGCAGTTTATTTCGAATTTATACATTTTTTAGGTCCTTTAACAAATAATGACTGTCTTCTGAATTTGCAGTTGTTTGAAGACCAAAAATGTTAATATAAGACTTATCAGAATTTATAAAAGTTATTTTGAATATAAACAAAAGGTTGTTGACTGCAGCTTTTCCAAAATATTATACTCTTGATTAGGCGGAGAGCCTGCTTTGGTTTAGCATGATTTTGTCATCTGCCTCGTGGCTACATAATCATCAACTCATCATTTCCTATGCACCTTTGTCTCTAAGGGTATTACTTTGTTTCTTTCGCAATATTGTTCCGTAAGCATATTAGTGATTACCAATGGGTATTACTAGATAGATGCTAGAAAAGCTTAGCTGCCTTTTCTTATATCGCTCGTTTGTTTCTAATCAACGACCATTATTCTTGCGTAAGATTGGGTTACAAGTTCTGCATAATCGGCTTAAAGACTGCGCACAGTCCAGACTAGTTTTCACTGTCCGATGTTATCCCGGGATGTCTTTAAAAGGCATTGAAGCTCGTCCGAACTCTTAGCTTTTATGCTTATTCGCACAAAATTTAACTAAATCAGGAATTATTATATTATGACCATTATCTCTCGGTGATGAAAATGTCCGTGTGCAGAGCTTAAAGTTACTTACACCCATAATTTCGAAAATAGTCTAACTGTACTATTTGAAATATTCTTTAAGCATCATCTGTAGGCATCTCTACGTAGAGCAAATAAAGGCCTTCTTCCAATACTAGAAGCTTGAATCAACATACGATTTTTGCCTATGAAAGTGACACTTTTTTTTTGTTGGTTTAGACTTGGTCTTAGCATCTAAGTATGTTGCGCTACTTTAAGTTTGCACATGCTTTCATTCTCATTCAAAGTAAGGCAAGTAATGCCAAAGAAATTCGGCAATATTTATGGTTTTAATAAGCAACATGACATGCTGCAAATGTCAAACGTTGGCTGTCATTCAAATGAACGAGCAACTGTTGGCCGCAGGACATGCCCAGCCACACCCTCTTACACTCTGGCTGACTCTGGGTGGCACAGTGAATGGCACGCGCGCAGGATGCGCTTGATTACTTGACATTTTGCATGGTATTTCCGTGTATTAATGAACAAAATAAATTTAATTTTGGCAATTAATGCACTGCACAGCACCAGGCGGCCATCAGGCATCAACCATCAGCCATCAGCATGTTTGCCCTTAAGCCGGTAGAATGAGCTACCCCCGACCAGCTGGAACTTTATGTTTATCATTATTGACTCGTGAGTAGTTCGAAAGGTCCCCCCTCCCCCCTTCTTCACCAGCACTACTTTCACTTCATGTCGCTCATAATGAGCTGGGACTGGACTGCTGTCGCTGTCGCTTCCCCTTATGGTAGTCTGTGGTGGGCGTAGGATTTCGTAATCAAATAGCTGCGCTTTCACTTTCACTAAATTTTCGCAAATTGCAATAAAACGAGATAGAAGGAAAGCGAAGCGAAGCAAAACAAAACAGATCCTTGGGGGTTGTCGGCGCTTAGTCATCCTTGTCAGCATACTTGTATCGTCGGGGCGTCACTATCGTCATTGCGTTCAGCCTCGGGCGGGCTTATTGGATTTTTTCAAGTGCTACTTTTGATGCTATTTATGAGACATTTTTATAAGTTGTGCCGTGAAGGTAGCAGCTGTCTTTTGCGCTAAGTGTGCACATAAAATACATGAGTTTACAATTCTAAAGGCAATGGCACTTCAAAGGCTCTTCAAACCCGTCAAACCTGCCTGGCTGAGAGTGTGCTCGGTGTACAATAGGTGTGAAAGCCTCGTCTATTGTTCGCTGATACAATTAGCGATAAATGGAAAATCAAAGCAGCACGCTAGAGAAACCACAAAAATAGAGCAGAAAAGAAAACGCGACTAATAACTTGATTAGAGATTAGATGAGCAGCGGGACTTAATTAAACGCCAGCTCCCAAGAACGTAATCACACATACGAGTATGAAAATGAAGCCGTACCAAGTAAATGATGTGAGTGTGCCGCGGTTAGACCTCTAGGACCAACTTTCCATGCCACACAAAAAGGATAACATTACAATTTTCTCGCGGCCCATGTATGTATCCATTACACTTGAATGCCGCTGACCGACAGCTATAGCCGGAGGGTTGCTACCGATTAGTGCAACCAAGCGAAGGACGCGTCCCGGTACAAGGACCATCCAGTCCTGTCCAGTCCTGTTTCGAGTCCATCAACAGCACATCAAACTGTTCGACCAATAATAACAATGGAACCATTCAATCAGCGGGCATAAATATATATAAAGAGATTTTAATTTTTTGATTATGTTGCTCTGTTGTTGTTGCTCTCATGTGAGTGTCCAGGCATTCTCCCGAGGGAACTTTTGCTGCTTTTCTCGTCCCTTTCTTAAATCGTTAATCAATGAACTTTGTGCGTGTACGTTCTTGCCCACGACTTCGACCCCTGGTCATCATCATCGTCATCGACCACGGCCTAGTCTGGGCAGCTCATTTGTGCATTTAGCATAATAAAAAAAATACCAGACGAAGAAAAGCGAAGGGAAAATTTGACGTAGTTGTCCGGAAAAACCAAGTTGATTAAATTTCAATGCTGATGTCCTGACTGTCCCCTCACTGCCTATGCGTGTGTAACTTTCTTTTTTGGGCTGTTACGCTAATGCGCCGTAATTTCGATTTAAGTTATTTCCGTTCTTTATTATGTGTGAGTTGTGATATGGAGCGTACGTATAAGGAAAGTAATTGAAGGTAATCACGTGAGTGGAGGTCTCAGAATTAGTCATGACTAAGCAAAAGGTTACAAAAGTAGGTCTTAATTAAGCCAAATCACAAAATAAAACGTTTTCCATTAAAACACTGAAATTAAATGGGAAGAGCTCGATTTTCGTTATATTACTCTACTCCACAAAAATATCCTTCTTTTCTTATTTACTGATTTCCAAATCCCCAGAATTTCACTTAAACCTAGACTAAAATTCAACCCCCAAGTGGGCGAAAAGTGAACTTAAACGAATTTTAAAGTTAAACAAGAGAGAACGTTACAGTCGATCAAGCCCGGGTAAAACGGGATACAGGCTACAAAAATAAGTATGTTATTCATAAAATAAATTAATATTTTGAGAAAACGTTAAATATATATTATTTGCATACACATATATCGGTTCTTAAAAGTGGACTACAATACTGGTGGTTCAAAGGCGAGGCATTGGCATATATAATCATAAGCTGATAACAGATGTCAGTCTAAGCCAAAGCTTTTTGCTCAAGCTATAGAATGCATTTTAGAAATCAGTTTTAAAATGTCAGTGGCTGGGTACAGTACGTTATTGCGTTTTGTCTTGATTGTTAGTGGCTTATCGCTGAATTGCGAGGCTAAGCCGAGTACTAAAATGCAAGATGTAGCAGATTCGGAGAGCATTGATGCCGATGCTAACTTCCGCAAAAGCTATGCCCAGCGAATGCTGTCCTACATGAATCAGAATGTGAACCCTTGCGACGATTTCTATGAGTATGCCTGCGGTAATTGGAAAAACGTGAAAACAGATTTGGACGGGCCTAAGAGGCGTGGCAATTGGCACGACATTTTCCAATTACTTGGTGATATCGAAGAGAAACTATTATACAAACCGTCTGACGAAAGCAGCGAACCGAAATATTATCAGGAGCTAGTGATTGCTCAGCAGTTCCACAATGCCTGTCTCAAAGCCGATCTCTATCCGATGAAGGCAGCTGATCCGGCATATCTGGACCTCATCAAGTCAATCGGTGGTTTTCCAGCCGTAGACTCCACGTGGGAGCCCGCGAACTTCAGTTGGTTCAACATGAGCGCTCACTTGACAAAGTATGGGGCAAAGGGTCTGATATTTGAGAAGATATTGCCCCAGTACCCATTCGAACCGTACTTCAAGCTGCCGCAACTGGGTTTTGACTGTACAGTCAATAGGGATAACATCGCTACCAACACTAGTCGTTGCCATAAGCTAAATGAGGAGCGCATGACCGGATATCTGAGCACTTATGGTCTCAAGCCCGAGCAGATGTCTGATGTTATTAATGGAATTTTTGCATTCTGGCGTGACGTGCTGGAAATTGTTGATCAATTTGACGCAGATGACGATAAATGTGATGTTCTATCAAAAATATATAGCGTTGAGCGCTTTTCGCAATGGCCCAGTTACAATGAGATTTCCTGGCAGGGCAAGGGCTTTGACGGACCTCGCTACTGTGACTTCTACTATGTAGAGCTGGAAAAGGTGTGCGAGAAAGACAAATCTGCAGTAGCGAACTACTTGGCCATGAAGCTGCTCTACCACATGGATGCTGAGCTAAAGGATGCCAAATATCAAAGAGACTACTGCATTATTACAATGCATGAATCGTTTCCAATACTATTGGGTCAGTTGTATCTTGAGGTGGGTTTTATATGGAGTCCTACTTAATTGATATTATTATTAATTTAAAAGTCGAGTCTATATCAGGATAGTGACTAACAACTTCGTTCTGTTCGTTTAAGGAATACTTTTCCGTTGAGACCCATGATGATATCGCCAGCATTATAAGCGTATTACGGAAGAGTCAACGACAAATGCTAGAAGATGCTGAGTGGCTGGATGAGGATACGCGCAAGGAGGCACTGTTGAAGGAGTCTAAATTACAGTTGCGCATAGGAGGCCTAAAGGATCCAGATCTAGTTGGCCGGCTTATTCACAAAATGAACACATTATCCTTTGTGCCTGAAAGCTATGCTCAGAGCAACATCAACTTGAAATACTTCAACACATATATGAATCGTTACGGAGCACATCATCTAGACGAGCTGCCAAAGAAAACAAAACCTTTTCAAATGCTAATGGCAACGATAACAAATGCCTTCTACTTTCCCCTAGAGAACTCGGTCAATGTTATGGCGGGATTATTTTATCCGCCTGCCTACCACAAGGCCTGGCCGAATTCTCTTAAATTTGGCACAATCGGATTTATTGTGGGTCATGAGCTATCGCATGCGTACGATCCAATGGGAGCTATGTTTGATAGTAATAATGAAATTCGCGATTGGTGGTCCAGTGATACAGCAATGGCCTTTAAGAGTCGTGGAAGATGTTATGTAAAGCATTACAATGACTACTGGATGCCGGAAATCAATCGCACAGTCAATGGCATCAACACGAAAGACGAAAACATAGCCGACAGTGCCGCTTTATATCAAGTATTTAATGCGTATCGCATCTATATAACACAACTGAAGGAAACTGATGAGAAATATTCGATGAGAGATGAGCAAATGCCCGGTTTGGATCTTTTGCCGGAACAGCTTTTCTATCTGGGATTTTCGCAGCTATGGTGTTCCGCTTTTGAGGAGGAACATTACTGGAAAGACCTGAATTCCGCACACACCATTCACAAGTATCGTGTACTTGGAACTCTTAAGAATAATGACAATTTTGCGCAAACTTTCAATTGTTCCTTGGGCAGTCCCATGAATCCACATAAAGATAAGTGTCGTTTATGGTAATGCAAGTTTTAAAATAAATATGCAAATTTTCACACAATTAATTGTAATGACTAGCGTAATAATTTAAAAGTAACCTGAACTTGTAACGCTAGGATAAGGCTAATAAATAAATAAATATAAAAAAATATTAAAGTACGTTTAAATCGGCAAATGGAAAGCATAAAAATACATCTTAGAAGAATTAATTCATCATTAAATGGTGCACTGTCTCAATAAATTTGCTAAAGAAATAAATAAATAATAAATTTTAAATTATTTTTTTAATTTGACGGTTTTAATTTAATACCAAAAAAATAAGTAAGTGTAATGTAAATAAAGTAAATAAAAATAAACAAATTGATGATGTTTCAGAATAGGCTAGCAGCTTTCAATCATTATCTTGAAAATCTTGAAGAAATGGCTTAATAAACAAAATAATAAAACAGCTGAAAAATCAATTAAAAGTGTGCATTTTATAAAGCTTTCTACCTTTGTGGTTTTACTTAACTCGATAGTCGAAATCAATAGGTCGTAAGGATTCTTTTTCCACACCTCACCCGCTCCCATTCAACTTTATGTTACACGCCTGCTTCCGCTCAATTAAACTATTCGTGCAATTTAAAAACGTCGCAATACATTTACAACAAAAGACAAATCATTGCTATTAATTCTTGACTCGCGGAATGTTTCATTACACCAGCAGCAGCGGCAGCAGGGAATAGCAGCGGGCTACACATCCTTTATCCTTCACTCACACACATATGTGCATTAATTTCTTCATGCCTGCTTTTCTTTCCTTTCCTATCCATTCCTTTGCTTACTTTTAATTTCTTTTGCAGGCAAAGGACGCGTCTGTCTTATTACGCTCATTCATATGCAAATCGACCGCACGAAACGCACAATGGCTGGGAAAGCCGGAAGAAGAAAAGAAAAAGGAAAAATGACTGCCTCCGACAAAAGTCAGTGAGATGCTGGAAAATTCATAAAAGGTTGGGTAGCTGGCATTTCTGCTTTGAGCGATTAAAAAATTTGCCAGCGACTCGGATCGAGTTCTGGGCATAATACTTAGCATATGAATGAACGGTGGACCTACGAGGCACTACCACGTCTTAAAGTGCTCAGGTCTTTTGGGCTTTTCACCTCCTAACCCAAATACGAGTACCAACGTGCGGCGCTGGGAGGGGTGAGTCCGTGAGTTTGTGAATACGTGTGTTTAACTACCCGCGAATGGCCCGTCAAATGTTTTATGGGGTTGTTGTGACTGTACCTTGTTTGCTGTTTGATGCACGGCCTCCGGTAGTGTTTGGTTCAGTTCTGTTCTGTTCTTGTTGTAGCTACAATTTCGCTTTAAGTATCCCATATCCCATATCAAATTCAAATGAATCGCCGTTTCCTCTGGGACTACATGTGGCGTTTGGCTTTTATGCTCATTCTATAGATTTAGGGTTAGATTTTGAAGCAAGCGCAGCAGCGGTGGCTGTGGCTGAGGCTGAGGCAGGGGCAGCGACAGCGACTTATAATTTACAAGTTCGAATACAATTTGAATTGTATCAGTTTGGGCGGGGACTATTGTTTTCATCTGTTTTGCGAAAAGCGATTTTCCCCGTTGCCTTTGTTTGCCAAAACAATTAATGTTATTTGCATAGTCGGGCATTCGTGGGGTTGGGGTCCTTCCCTCACACAATGGTCCAGTCGGTATGTGGTCCAATTTGAACGTTTGCTGAAAATAAAAACAACGCCCGCGGCCAGGCTGTGTTTGGTTCTGTCTCAACACAATATATTTGGGTACTGGTTACTATCAAATTGTATTTGACTTTGAAAACATTTTCGGGCAACAATTCGGTCAGGGGTTGTGTGTAAAGTGTCTGCCAGCCTGACAGCTTCAAGTGTGCGTTTGTCTATATAGTTTGCGCATTATCAGCATTTCCATTCGCCACTTACAAGCACACACACACATACACATACGCATACTAAACTACTTAAACATGTTCACACTCAGCGAAAGAGATGCCTACATTAAATATTTAATGAATACTCGTAATAGTGAATATTTTACACCTCGATACAGTCTCTTTACGGGTAATCAAAAAGATTGGGCAAAATAAAAAATGTTATTATTTTTATTTATTTTTGAGAAGGATACGAAATGAAGTACTTTTATGTATTTAATAAAGTTGGTTTAGGGCAGTCTTTTCTGATCAGATTTGATCACTCTTTAATTTAATAAATTGGTTTCGCGATACATTGTAGTTGATCTGGCTCTGAAATACCTAGACAGTTATATTTTTATATTCTATTCCCTCAACCATTTTCGTAGGGTTGTGATTCATCTATTTCTCAAGTACAAATAATTTTGTATTTTAACATTCTTTTAATATGCAAAATTGTTTGGTATTAATTTTTTTCTTTGCACCAAAATAAATCTAATTAGCTTTTATTTACAATTTAGTTCTTTAGGTACATGTTTTTGAATATGTTATGTTATGTACATATATGAGAAAATATAGATATACTAAAACTTTAATTCTTCAGAGAAAAAAACGATTTCCTACATTTAATAGCGAAATTTTAAATTTTCATGAGATGGTTTCAAAATATATTTATGTGAATGCAACACTTTGCTTTCTATAACATTTTATTGATATATTCTGATCGAAATAGGATTTGAATATACTTTAAGTTCAAATCCAAAACGTAATGGGTGTGGATTGTACATTTTAAATGATTATATTGACAATTTTATATAAAATATGCATTTGTCAACATTTTTATTTTTGTTTTTCTAATATACTTGTATCTGTTTCTTTTATTGTTTTCTTCTATTGTTTTTTCAGTGTATGCATAGCTTTGAGGATTGCGTGTTAATGTGCAAAAAATGTTGGTTAACTTCACTTCACATGGCACTTGAAGTTCGTTTTGCGCAACACTTGGCACACACTTGAGTTTTTGGGAGAATTGCCAAAATGCGCAAGTGTTGCGTCACACGCACACAAATACACACTCACATCCAGATGCACGGCATTAAACTTACACACACACACTCACGCCACCATATGAGACGCCTCTTCAGCTTTTCTTGTTCCCATTGCTTATTTATTGTATTTCCTTGCCGCTTAAATGACACGAATTTGTCATTTTGTTGTACGAGTTTTTCATGCATCGTACCCCGCTGTTCTTTCCAGCCACTACCCACACCTTGTTGATGCTCACACATGCAGACATGCATATGTCGTTGTTTGTTTTGCCACACCCCCGTTCGCCGCCTATCCGTGCAACACGCCCCATACGCCCAACGCCGAACGCCCAAAGCCCATGACGCGCTTTTGTTTGCACAGCAGTTGAAAATTTCAATTAGAAAAACTGTTACAAAATGTTTATAATTAGTTTTTCGTATGCAAATTGTGCGTTTTCTACCTTTTGTGCGTATGTGTGTGTGTGTAGCCCTTCAAATTAGAATTAAATATTCTTTTGATTGTGTGGGTTCTTTGTGGGTCGCTATTGCTGGTTTTTGCCTCGCCTCGGGCGTTGACACACTGCCACAGAACTGGTTGAGGTTAAGCTTGGGCTGTCCTAACAAAAAATGAATAGGACGGGATTAAGTTGTTCAAATAATCGCATTGTTCGACTTGCATTTGCTCGATAAATTATAATTTTAAAGTATATAAAGAATTTTGGTGAAATTTTACTTCAGACCATACAAATATTATCTTTATAAATATTATGTGCTTAGGTTTATTTATTTATTAGGAAATGTTTTGGAAGTGAGAAGTTAGTTGTTTTTGGTGTCTGGAAAGGCGCAGCAAATATTTATAAAAATCATTTTTATAAATTTACTATGGTATGTACGAATTGGAAGGTTAATGTCCTTGAGAAGCTGGTCAAACAAAAAATTATTTGCATTTATATATTAACTATATGAAATGGGTTTCAAATTGAAATAGCTCCTGAAATATCCTGCGTCAATACATTAAAATAAATTAACATTTAGTCGTATTTACTATATGAAAAGATTTTTCTATTCCAAAGCGCCCCTATATTAAGTACTATATATCGAATTTATTAAGTACTTTGTCAACATCTCTTTCATCTAGAGTCGTTATGCACATTTCCCAGATTCCCTCTCCTGAATATATTCCTGATTCCCTGTTACCCATTGCAATCCAAGAAGTCATAGATACTGCGATTCAAAACTGATAGGGCAGACATTCAAAATATTTGTTCTCGGTGTAAGACCATAAGATCTGCTGGTTATATTGTTGTTATGAAGAGACTCCACCTCTCCAATGATTCAATTTCGTCCTACATATTATCTCTTAGCACGTATTCCCCAGACTTCCCTTTGCTTGATAATTTTCTCTTCCAATAAACTTCTGATTCAAATAATCGCTTTCCGCTTTTAATTTTAAAAATAGATTACATCTGAATTTCTTGAGGCGCAATTATTGTGTCGAATTCACACGCTCCGAATTTTGCAAATGATTTAAACGGAAATGGCAGGCAGCTTTGTGCATAAAAGGCAACGCCGTTTTTCAACAGCTTGTTGCTAATTTTTAATAAATATGAAACGTGTTGTTGGAGGGTGGTGTCGACTCTCGGACTCAAGGGTCTGTCGGCAAAAAAAATATTCAAATTTTCCAATAATTTTCGCAAGCCATTATAATTTTGCGTGCGTTCCTCATCACGTGCCCGATTATTGCCGATGATTATCATTGAGATTTTTCACCCGCTTTCCCCATTGTTTCCACGTCCCTTCCCCCCTCCTAACTCATATTAAAAATGCAATGTTTTGCTATTTATATTGTACCCATATACATATTTACTTCCACTCGAACATGTTTTGATTGTTTGGCTTGTGTTAGGGTCACGTGCACGTCATTTGTTTTGCGTGTGTGAGAGAGCAGTTGTTGTTGTGTTGTTTTCGCACAAAATATAGTCACGAGTTAATTAAAATGTGCGGCATACTTTTAGGGTGCGGCTTTTTTAAGTACAGTTCCTCTCACTCTATTTGCCAGCCACTTTCAACGTCTTGGCCGCCTCTGGTAAATGAATGTCTGGCGACGATGTGTAATGATAGTGCGTTTGTTCCCCAACATCAGGGCGGATGCAGTTATCTGT